TCGAAAGCCGTCACTGCTATTTCGGAGCTTGGATATTCTCAATTTCCCAGCTTCACTTCCTTCTAGAAATAGAAACCACCGAGATTGCAAAATGGTACCGAGACTTATTCCCATTTAAGTTTTCTAAAGCTGTTATTCTTTTTGATCATTCAACTTTAACTTTGTTATGAAATCCGTTTGCTTAGGTTTCACTCTGATTTTCGCCTAAGACTACTCCTCAAACGCGGGAAAAAGGTTACTCATTGTTAGTGTTTTTTTTTTTGCAGCGCGAGTGTATTTCAGTCCACGTTGGCCAAGCCGGAGTTCAGATTGGAAATGCTTGTTGGGAGTTGTACTGCTTGGAGCATGGAATTCAGCCTGATGGTCAGATGCCGAGCGACAAAACCATCGGCGGTGGAGATGATTCTTTCAACACGTTCTTCGCTGAAACCGGTGCAGGAAAACACGTACCACGCGCAGTGTTCGTCGATCTGGAACCAACCGTTGTTGGTAAGAATTTTTTATAAAAGAAGTCTTACATGTATAAAGAAGAGGATTTCCTTCAAATGGGTGGCGTTGTCTCGGAACTACCCATGAATAAGTTATTCTCCAGGTACAATTGCTAATCCTCGCAGTGTTGTACACAAGTTGATTCAGCTGTCACCAATAAGCATCTAATGACGCAGTGAAGTGTAAAAAGGTTTTGTGATCAGAAAGCTGCTTTTCGCACCTATAGTTTTATGCTTTCATTTAAGATAATTGGCTTTCAGTTTATAGCACAACTCACAATACAGCTTATAACTGAAGGAAGCCATTGCCACATTTTCAAAAATAATGTCTCGCATGATTGAAAGAAATGATTATCTGTTCACTATCAGCCTACTCGCAAAAACTAACACTCAAACGCTAGAGGCTCCCCACTCAGAAGTGTTTCTTTTCTCTTTAATTAAGACCATAATTTTTTTTCCTTTCTGCAGATGAAGTCCGCACAGGCACCTACAGACAGCTGTTTCACCCAGAACAGTTGATAACCGGCAAAGAAGATGCCGCTAACAACTATGCTCGTGGGCACTACACTGTTGGAAAGGAAATGATCGATCAGGTTCTGGACAAGCTGAGAAAATTGGTAAGAGTGACGTTCATGTGCTGTTTCAGTAATTCTTAAAGTTCGTTTTAGTTAAAGGCGGTAGGGCATATTACAGACCATCTGCGCTTGGGAAAACGAAGGATCAACAAGGTCGGAGAGCAGGGACCCGAGAGACTGGGCTCGAGTCTTCCCAGGCCTTTTGCTTTGTTTCCCCGTTGACTCCTCTGTATTTAATTTCGAGAACCCTGTACACTCAGACTATCCGCACCTTCAAACTGACGAGACGGGCTAGTGATTATTACTAGTAAATAAAAATGCATGTAAAAAACACCATTAGCCGGCTTTAGTAACTGTCAATCCAATAACGGAACTGAATGTTTCACTGCGGATATAACTATGCCTATGTAGGAACGTGTAGGAACATGCTGCTAATCAGTTAGGAAAAAATAATTCCATTAACTTAAGGCTAACTGGCGTTAACATTTTCCTGGCGTGGCTTTGTGGTTCATTTATCTTTGGTCATTCATTACCATCCACGACATCCAGTGCAATGATAATCAAAATCTATAAACCAAGGACAAAATTGAAATATGACATGTTCAAGAAACTCACTTTCTTTTACAAGCTATTTGATAAAGAACATGTAAAACAAACAAAATAAACGGTGGTTTTAAACTTAATGCGAATAGTTCAAAGCATATAACTGAAAAAGAAAACTGAACGAATTTTACAATGTGCATGTATATCCTAGGCTGACCAATGCACAGGACTGCAAGGTTTCCTTATCTTCCACTCCTTCGGTGGAGGTACTGGTTCTGGCTTCACATCTCTTCTCATGGAACGTCTGTCTGTTGACTATGGCAAGAAATCCAAACTGGAGTTCTCTATCTACCCTGCACCACAAGTTTCAACGGCAGTGGTTGAACCTTACAACTCCATTTTGACCACTCACACCACCTTGGAACATTCTGACTGTGCCTTTATGGTGGATAATGAAGCTATTTATGACATCTGTCGTCGTAACTTGGACATAGAAAGACCAACTTACACCAACCTGAACCGTCTGATTGGTCAGATCGTGTCTTCCATCACTGCTTCACTACGCTTTGATGGTGCACTGAATGTCGACTTGACTGAGTTCCAGGTAGGATATCAACAACGTACCTGCCGAACCACCCTTCATATATCCACGCGTTGTAATCTAAATGAGTTGGTAGGAAATGCGTGAAAAGCTATCAAGATTCCATGGTAGTTTACTAGTGACGAGGTATTATCAGTAACGATTGGGCTGGAGCCTTTGTTACGTACGTGTTTTGGCTCGCGGTATTCTTCATTCATTTACCCCCTTTGTTTAAATGTTTCTATTTGGATGATAATAAGTTTAAAGGATGGACTAAGGATGGACTGAATCTCAACCCAGATATTCCTGGAAAGACGTAATTTAACAGCTCTTTAGTGGCGTTAATATTAATGTTAGTATTTTTGAAAAGTTATTTGTCTTTTTGACAGACCAACTTGGTTCCTTACCCACGTATTCACTTTCCATTGGCCACTTATGCTCCAGTTATATCTGCTGAGAAGGCCTACCATGAACAGTTGACAGTTGCAGAGATTACAAACATGTGTTTTGAACCAGCCAATCAGATGGTAAAGTGTGACCCACGTCACGGCAAATATATGGCTTGCTGTCTGCTGTTCCGTGGTGATGTAGTACCTAAGGACGTGAATGCAGCTATAGCAACAATCAAAACCAAGAGAACCATTCAGTTTGTGGACTGGTGCCCCACTGGCTTCAAGGTTTGTTGGCTCCTTAGTCTAGCTATCTTCGCTGCTAGCCTTCCTAGTTTCTTTTAGCTGCAAAAAGTTAAGAAAATCAACATTAAATCAAACATTTCGAATTTCAACAAATGTTTGGAACTGATTCATTTTTCAGGTGGGCATCAACTACCAGCCTCCCACAGTTGTTCCTGGTGGTGACTTGGCCAAGGTTCAGCGTGCTGTCTGTATGTTGAGTAACACCACAGCTATTGCTGAGGCCTGGGCCCGTCTGGATCACAAGTTTGATCTTATGTATGCCAAACGTGCTTTTGTCCACTGGTATGTGGGTGAGGGTATGGAAGAAGGAGAGTTCTCTGAGGCTCGTGAAGATTTGGCTGCTCTGGAGAAGGATTACGAGGAAGTGGGTGTGGATTCACAGGAAGCTGGAGATGAAGACGAAGAAGGAGGAGACGAGTACTAATTACTGAAATGAAATTAATTTAACTCAGTCATTTATGGATCTGTAACTGCCACTTGTATAACTGAAATAAAGAGTGACAAGCTGTGCAAGAATTTAGTCATAATAATCTATGTCATTTCTTAAGTATGTTTAGGCATGGCCTGATGCTAATTTGCATAAAATCTTACAATGATCATAACTTTGTGAAAAATTATCAGAAACTTCCAAAATTTGGCAACCTCGGAAAAATCGGTAACCTTAATCAGTTGCCGTAGCGAGATGCCAAACAATATATATTAAATACTCCCAACAGTATTTTTGTCATTGTATCATCTTTTGTCGCTTGAATCTGGCCGGAATGGTTGACTCACGTTTTTATTTAATTAGTAATTAAGCAACATAGGTCATGTGACACTTTTCTATCTTTTATTCTCTCCTTTGCGGCTGCGGAAAAAATTCGTACGGAAAACAAACATTTACACGTGCTTCAAACTTAGTTTTAATCAACCATTCCTACCCCATTTTGAATTTCTTTTTGAATATCATTATGACGTCACGTTTCACATGACTACATCAATTCAACCCTGATTAATTCAATGCCTCAAAAGAAAGTTTCTCAAAAGTTTTTTGCAACTTTTAGAAAATGCATGGCCGTAGAAGAAAAACAGCCTTATATTCACGGGGGGTCGAGACCCAAAATTGCTCCATGCCTTAACATGCTTGAGTTTGTGACTTTCCGGATTGTATGTTACGCCTCGAGGCTCAGAATGAATACCTTTGGAGGAGCTTTTTTCAGCCGATTGAAATGGGAGTTTCCTGCATCCCTTAATCTCCCCTCTTCTCTCGGGTGCCAATCGCGCGTGACTTCTCACGTTATCCCCCAAATGGATAGCTTATTTGCAGGCTAGAAAATAGAGAAAGAAGGGTGAGGAGAGATAACCCCACAGGTGTCTTAGTCTAATCGCACCCCTCTTTCAGTCGCGAGAGAGAGAGAAGAGGGGGAAGGGGTTAGAACAAGTACGCAAAAGGTCTATTTGGCGGTAACGTTTTCAAAAATTCGGCCAGCTTGTTCCAGGCGTTCGGATAGTGGAGCGCGGCACGAAGTAAGAGTGCCCATCCCCTTGTTTTTTTTTTCTACTCACATTTCGTTGCGCCTTCACCATGATCTTATATAAAACGCCTGAAACAGGCTAAAAACCGACTAGACATGTTGTGTTTGCTTTCGTTTATTTTCCACGTAAATAGAAAAAAAGAAAAAAAAATCGGCTTTAGTTATTAATTCTTATAATTTTACGATCCTAACGCGTATAGTCTCTTTTGTATTAACTCCTAACCAACGTTTGTGTTTCAGACCAAAATACATCGTGACTGAATTTATGTAAACATGGCTTCAGTGAGTGTCTACAGGTTCTGTGCTAACTATGTCCTTTGTACCAAGACTTTGACCCTCCCCATCCAGGACAATGGGTGACTGTCTGCACCCCACACCCCATCAAATAACCCCCTCCCTACCCCACAAGTTTTGCTTCCAAGGCCTTGTCCATCTTCCCACTGTTAGGGCAGTTCCTGGGCTATCCAGCTGTACCGACCAAGACGGCAACCCCGGCGCCTACTTTTTAGGACATCGCACTGCCTGGAGCCGGACGTAGCCCGGCGCCAGGGGAAAACCTAGTGGCCACGTTTTAACGAAATCAGACAGATATATATTTCATATATTCATATGCTATTTATGTTGCCCTTTCTACTTCTCCTCCCGCGAGGATCAGCTTGTTTTTTTCTCCTATTTTTCCGTATCACGAGGAGCTAGAGGACGCGAGTTGTCATGGAAAATGATTCTATTTCGGATCTTCCGTTTTTTGGTAGTGAAGAAGAGCTGGGTCTCAGTTGTAGATAACGAAGGGAACACGTTCTGGTGTGCCAAGTATGAAAGTAAAGTGGGGCGTAAGTGCTTTCCTTCCTCTCGCCTCCCCTCTTTCTTCGCCGTGTCACGTGCACTAGTCACGCGCGAGCGAATCGCCCATCGAAAGGGTTGCCCAGCCCACTTCACGCCCCCCGACCCACGCTCGCTTGTCACTCGCGCGTGACGCTTTGCCTATCGCGACTCTCAAATGGAAAGCTTGCTCGCTGTCGTGCCTCAGTCAAATCTTGACTTTCAGAGTTCTCCATGCGTCGGAAGTCTGAACGGGGAGACTGAGTAAACCCCCGCATTCCACCCTCCCACGACGCTCTAAGCCGAGCGGCCTCGAAAGAAGCGAGGGAAAGCGTTGTGAGCTCCTCGTGAACCCTGGGAATTTTATCTCATTTTGCCGTGTGATGAATTGCCCATCTGTGTTTTGTGTTCTGTCACTTGACTAAAAATTCCTCAGTTCTAAAAGCATTTTGTTTTCAAGACGATGGCAGATACTGCTCAGAGCGCTGCTGATCACCGAGGGTATGTTGAATTCTCCGATAATTGCTTCCAACTGTATATTCGCATGCTTTTCCATGTTACAGCACCCTTTCGTGGAGCTAAGGTATTTTGTCAAGCTTCGGTCACGACAATCAGTTTTCTATAAACGGTGTAAAATTTTCTTTCGTTAAATGAATGATATATGTTTTGCGTGGCCTATAAATCATGGGAATAAACTTGCAAAAAACTGGGTTTCTTGCAGCGAGTAACACACTGCTAATAGAATTCCACAACAAAAGCACGTTGAAAGGTGCTTACAGAAAAATCTCCTCTCTCATTATTAGACGTTGTAAAGATAGGAGAACTAAATTTCAGCTACATTAAATAAAAGTTATACAACATGGCAATAATTTTAGGACATTAATCAGAAAGTGCTTATGGTGACACTAGTGGTTCATTGGTTTATATTCATGCATTTAAAAGACGATGCAATATATGATTGTATTATTGCAGATGAAACCATACTTTCAAGTGATTTAATAATGCAACTAAATAGTTGAAAACAATGCACCTCAAAAAGCTAGGCATTAGTTAAAGTTCTTGAATATTTCCCAACTCTTTTTTGTCAGCTTTGTTTTTGTTTGTGTAAAAAGGATCGAGATTTTGAGAAATCTTGTTCCTTTCTGAAAAATGACTTCACACACATGGTGTCAATCACTAGTTATGCATCTTATGCTAATTTAGCTGTTGTAGTCATGCAGATCAATGGCCAGAGCAGTGTTCTTAATACATCTCTTTAGTTCAGATCTTTTATTATGTTTAAGTAACATACAAAAATATGTAAGAAAATTAATTGAAAAATGATCTGACTAGAAAACCCAGGCCTTATAAGCCTTTTGGTTTCTCTCGCCAGTTTATCATTTTTTGTAGTTATTCCCATTTTACTTTGGCAAAATAAATGAAGTGAACTGAAAAGATGTTCTAAAAAGTTTAACCAAATACAGTCGACTCTCTCTTAACGGACACCTCTACAAGACGGACACCTCTGTAAAACGGACACCTAGAGTTGGTCCCTGCCTTAGTTTATTCCCTTTATTTGACTCTTTATAAGACGGACATCTCTCTAAGACGGACACTTAGTCCCGGTCCCAAAGTTGTCCGTCTTGGAGAGAGTTGACTGTAACAGGCATAGGGCACAGCCAGTCATGTTATCTGGTGACTGACATGACTAGTTCAAAGTATAACTCATTTTCATATTTTTTCAATTTGCTACTGATTCTGTTGGGACATTACCCATTCTTGGCTGGTCAAGTGCTGAACCAGTGAAAGTGATCAACAACTGAGGAAACATTTAATGCATCTTGAGCAAACAAAATGCACTTTCTTCCTTAGGACCAGTTATTAATAATACCAGAAACTCATAAGGGGTTGAAACGTGTAACTCGCGTTCAATGCTCGTGAATATTCACTTTTACCATATTTGGAAACCTTAGTGGCAGATATTCATTTTAAACAAATGGCTGCCACTCGATCACCATGCAGATGTTTTAAGACAAGAGTTCTGCATTTCAAGATTAAAAATACACCGTTAAAAGACAAAAAATGGAAAGAGAAAGTTCAAAAGAATGCTCAGCTTTCTTTTTGTGGCGGAAGGGAAGCTTTTCATCAAGAAATTGTCCTTTGAGGAATTCAACCCTGTTTTCTTCACGACAGCACACATGGTCTGTTTTGAAATGCAACCAAGGCAGTGAAGTTTTTGCTGAATTTTAAGGTACATTTTGCACTCTATGGCCAAGACGATTGTGTTTTTGAAAAGGAATTTATGTACTTTTAAATGTTTCATAGACGTTTTATAAATTTTTCTCTTCGGCGCTAAGGAAAAATTACAAAATGTGCCCCTATTTGAGATGGATTTTGTGTTGAATTTTGCCATGTGCTCAGCCGATTTCACTTGTGTGAACGGATCCACGATCCAGATAGTGTTTTCCGAATTGCTCTAAAAGATTAACATTTTGGATTTGAATAAAAATTTTCCAGAAACGGCTTCTCTGTCTATTGTTTTGAGTTTGTTCATTCATAAAATTAGCTCATAACACGATCGTGACTACAACATCCAAGCTGAATTTAAGCTTAAATGCTTCTCACATTCATTACACGCATCACTTTTTACGAAGATGTCAGGTTTAGGATTTGGACACTTTTCAATATGCAGCTAATGAATGTTATTCGAAAATATTTTTTACTGTTTATTCTAGACTTTTAATATAAGTTAAAAGCCTATTTGCCGTATAAGTTTACTGTGCAGAGGGTCAACGAGGCATCGTTGTTTGAAGTGAGAACTTCAAGAAGTTTCGTGGACGTCAGTGGGTTTCATAATGTTATGTTTGGCCCGGGTGGTGAGGCAATAATATCAGGCTCAGTGTTTTGGTAAGATTCCTGGTTTCAACCTTTGAAAGCTTTCTCGGCTTTCGGGAGTTTTTCCCCCGTTTGTCGGCCATTTTTTCAAGCGGGCGCGGGAACCTGAAGTAAAATTACGTCACGTTGTTTACAAAGTTTGATTGGTCAGTCATCTCTTCTTCTCGTTCCAAATATGGTACTTTTGAAAATGAATAATCACGAGCATCGGACAAAGCAAACATATGAGAGTTACACGTTTCAACCTCTTATGAGTTTCTGATAATACTTAATGTGCTCATTGTAAATGCTTCTATGGTTGAAGCATCCTTCTATGGTGTAGACTGTAAACACACCCTCTGAATTTTTAATGTTGAGTCATCGGCTGTGTCCACATTTAGCAAGCTATCAGGGTTATTTTTTGAATAACCTGGTCAAAAACTCTACAAAGCATTAGAGCAAAAGAGTGTAACTGAATTAAGTTTTATTATTAACAGCCAGACACAATTTAGACTTTACCAAAGTCCTTTCAAAGTCACACAGTTTTGTTTTGCACCCATGTTCAACATTTTAAGAGTAACTGGCCTGATAAATCGTGAAGGCATGGTTAACGGTGGTCTACTCTGTGAGAGCGGTTTCCGAAGGTCAGTGCTTAGGTTACCTGGTCCCTGGTTTCTTCACCGTCATGGCTGTCGTGTTGCTTACATTAAACAAGAAACTTAAGTTCGGATCTCTCTTCACCCAAGTGTATAGTGAGTACGATGATCATAATGCTGGCTTGGGACTGAAAACCTTGCGATGTTCCAACATCCTGTTCATGGAGTTGTAGCATAAAATTAAGCTATGTGATGGACAACCTCATTCTCAGGTCTCCCAGGAATTGTGCGGGGTTGCGTAAATGAAGTGTAACACGACGTGCGCTTAAGTAACATACAAAAATATGTAAGAAAATTAATTGAAAAATGATCTGACTAGAAAACCCAGGCCTTATAAGCCTTTTGGTTTCTCTCGCCAGTTTATCATTTTTGTATTTATTCCCATTTTACTTTGGCAAAATAAATGAAGTGAACTGAAAAGATGTTCTAAAAAGTTTAACCAAATACAGTCGACTCTCTCTTAACGGACACCTCTGTAAAACGGACACCTAGAATTGGTCCCTGCCTTAGTTTATTCCCTTTATTTGACTCTTTATAAGAGGGACATCTCTCTAAGACGGACACTTAGTGCCGGTCCCAAAGGTGTCCGTCTTGGAGAGAGTTGACTGTAACAGGCATTGGGCACAGCCAGTCATGTTATCTGGTGACTGACATGACTAGTTCAAAGTAGAACTCATTTTCATATTTTTTCAATTTGCTTCTGATTCTGTTGGGACATTACCCATTCTTGGCTGGTCAAATGTTGAACCAGTATAAGTGATCACCAACTGAGGAAATATTCAATGCATCTTGAGCAAACAAAATGCATTGTCTTCCTTAGGACCAGTTATTAATAATACCTAATGTGCTCATTGTAAATGCTTCTATGATTGAAGCATCCTTCTATGGTGTAGACTGTAAACACACCCTCTGAATTTTTAATGTTGAGTCATCGGCTGTGTCCGCATTTAGCAAGCTATTAGGGTTATTTTTTGAATAACCCGGTCAAAAACTCTACAAAGCATTAGAGCAAAAGAGTTTAACTGAATTAAGTTTTATTATTAGCAGCCAGACACAATTTAGACTTTACCAAAGTCCTTTCAAAGTCACACAGTTTTGTTTTGCACTATTTTGTTGCTTGCTTGGGGTGCTCATAACACTGCTTGCCATAGAGTTACTGACAAAATTTTACCACACAGTACTGATAAAGGAGGCCCACTGTGTATAAGTCTAGACTCAATAAGTGTTGTGAAAGAAAAGTTGAACTGGACACGAAAGAAGTAATTTTAGAAACTGCCTTGCTTTAGCCAGGGGCCCAAAGTTTAGATTTGCACAATTCTCGTGTGTAGGCAGAGATGATCGATTGGTTACTAACGTTAACCTGCATTCTTCATATCATACAATAGCTGAATTGATTAAACAATAATGATACCATCAACTGACATGATACAACTCCAGGCCTGTCAACCCCGCATGTCTTCAAATATTGAGAATTAATGGGGAGTGGGTGATAGATGATGTCATAATGCAGGGCACATGATGTCATATTTTGGAAAAAAAACATGGGAAAATAATGTTTTAGTTGTAACATTTGATCACCTAATTGGTTTACCTCCCACCAATCACATTATTGCTTATATTACAATGGCATACCGGAGTTTGTGAGGAAACTTTCAATGTTAACAGGAAAATAGCTCAAACAATGTAAAATATTTGAAATTTTATTGTCAGAGAGTCGAATCTACAAGAAATGGCAAACTTTGGCGATTATCTGGGATATGTCAGACTCTAATCTGGAGACAGGGAGAAACAGTTTAAAATCTGGAGTCTCCCGGATTATCCGGGAGAGTTGACAGCCCTCAACTCTCTTTGACTCTGAAGGTGACTACCACACAGGCTGTCAAAACGTCAGTCACTGTCAAAAGCCCTGCCAGGGGGGATCCCATGTCGCTCGTCTGTATTTTAAAATGTCTCTTGTCGGTGTTTATAGATGCTTTGAGTCGCTGTTGGAAATTGATGAAAATTCTTTGTCTTTGTTGGAATTTTAAAAAAGTGGGTAGTGATGTGTTGTAAAGAAACCATTGCACATTGAACACATCTACATCACCAATCACAATTATGTGACCCATGTTCAACATTTTAAGAGTAACTGACCTGATAAATCGTGAAGGCATGGTTAACGGTGGTCTACTCTGTGAGAGCCGTTTCCGAAGGTCAGTGGTTAGGTTACCTGGTCCCTGGTTTCTTCACCGTCGTGGCTGTCGTGTTGCTTACATTAAACAAGAAACTTAAGTTCGGATCACATTGTCTCTCTTCACCCAAGTGTATAGTGAGTAGGATGATCATACTGCTGGCTTGGGACTGAAAGCCTTGCGATGTTCCAACATCCTGTTCATGGAGTTGTAGCATAAAATTAAGCTATGTGATGGACAACCTCATTCTCAGGTCTCCCAGGAATTGTGCGGGGTTGCGTAAATGAAGTGTAACACGACGTGCGCTTGGGGGGGTGGGGGGGGGGGGGTACTTGGATTAATTTTTGCTGGGTATGTGTCGCTGGCCTCTCAGAGCCCCTACCCCTTTATAGTCTATTCTGTGGCCAATTATAGACACCATCTTAGTCACTTTTGGGCAAATGTGTAATTTTTGTGACCCCAACTTAGTCACTCTCTACCTTATGTATGTACCTTATATTACAAACATTCTTTTATGTTTGCTAACCGTAAATATGAAGAACTCTCTTACCCCAAAAATCAGAAAATGTGAGACCCCATTCTAGTAACTCTATTGAAAATGCCACCCCATTATAGTCAGTCCCGTCATGAAATGCGACCCCATCCAGTGGCACATCTCCATTAGCCTCTTATGAGGAAGTACCCCAGGGACAAGAGACATTCTTTGAAGCACAAGGGGTGAAAATTACTTCTTCTTGGCATTCAGACTGGTGTTAAAATAGCCAAACCACCTTTTTTGTCGCTTATTCTCGGCTTTGCTGTCACTGTCACAATTTGGCCAACGGAGGGACTCTTGTCGCCATTTCATTTTACACTCTGTTGCTACTTTTTGGGTCACATCACTTGTCAGAATTTAGCTTGGCAGGGCTGTCTGTCAACAACAGTCCTATTCATGACTACTTTACCTGGATGATCATGCTCAACCTACTCATAAAATGACTCCTGCCAGGTTCAAACCTTTCAGGTTTGAACCTGGCCGGAGTCATTTCATAAGTAGGTTGAACATGATTGTCTGGGTGAACATTATGTTCTTATGCAAAGATTGGACTGTATTGAAATCTATTATATTTTCTTCCAACTGAATTTCAGACTGAAACTTAAAAGTATAATCCAGAAGCTATCTGAACATTGTGACATAAAGAATCCTGAAGACCTGGAAACTGTTGTGAGTAAATATTAAAGCAGACTGCCATGAGTACACCAAAATGAGTGAAACATAGAAATGCACTGTAACCACTTAGGCCCTGTTTAGATGCTATAGTATATATGGGCCGACTCAAATTTGAATTTAGGCAGACCCAAATTACTATAGGCAGATTGAGATGCCAATCTTTATTGCTGCTGAACTAAATTCAAAAGGAGACAAATAAAAATGCATTAAAAATGTATTGTAAAAATTCATACATTTAGTTTGGGTCATATGAACTCTGGGGTCTAAATCAATGCTGCCATTGTTCTTGGCTGAGACAAGGGTTATTATTGCCCTCCTTAAATAGCTCTGCTTTGTAATTTACATGTAGCAATGTATTTGCTATGTAAGTGTTTATGTTTGCATTTTTTTTATTTCTGCTTGTTTTCGTTGTAATAAGCAGCAAAATCTTTTTTCTTCATTTTTTTTTGCCTTAATGTTGTTTTTGTTTGAGTCATGTTTTTTTCCTTAGACTGAATAAAAAAATTGCAAAAAACCAATCATAGTAGAAGGCTTGGAATTTTTTTGTTATTAGTGTAAAGACAAATGTACAGCTATTCAAAGAAAAATAAATGATTAAATGAAACATATGCTTAGCTTATTTCCATTAGTACTTAATTTACCAAAATATAATCACCTGGTCAAGACTATATATAAATTATAATAATTTTTTATTATTTACAAAAATGTTTCTTTATTTTGGCTTGATTTTAGGATGACAAAGAGACAATGCTACAAAAGAAGCGTGGGAGTAAGAGGTAACTAACACAAACAGTTCCCATAAAGTATTCTTTATTGCCATGTACATGTAGGTTTAAATTCATACCAGCTTGGATGTAAATTTAATATTAAATATGACCAAAACCTCAACAATCTACAAAGTTTAACTTTTTTTGACAGCCTTATTGTTGCCAAGGAGAAAATACAATTTTATAGTGTAATAATAAGACATTTTATCGTCAAGTTCTTGCCAGTGTCAGTGGTTTTTAGCGAGAACTTTACTTAAATTACATGCTATGTCAGGGTTTTCATTAAGAATTGTGGTAGCAGGAGAAATGTGTAACGTTGTGTGAATAAAACTAGTCGTAGGCTACTGAATGTTAGCTGGAGAATTTTGGGTAGTGAATGGCGAATTTTCCGATCTCCGATGCCTAATTAATGCCTAATGCCTAATGCCTAATGCCTATATCTGTAAATGCCCATATAACTGCAGCTATCATGATCAACAAAGTTATTGAGACACACCCACACTTTTCTTAATATGGAACACAGCTTAATGCATTACACAGTATTATACCTTCCACCATTACAATATTGTGTTTACCATGATCCAAACAAATTTTGGCCAGCATTATCATAGACCTCTTTCATAATGGTGGTATACCTATTATTATTTTCTGTTATATGTAGGATAATAAATTAGCCTTTCTGACCTCATTGGAAAGCAAGAATTCTTTTGTCTTTTGCACTTGCTAACGAGGTCAGAAAGGCAATTAATATTATTAAAATCATTATGAAAGAGGTCTATAAGGTGGTACCTAATGGTGAAGATATTTAAAAAGAAACACTTTTTGTAAGTATTTCAAGACTTTTTGCTAATGATGGAAATTAATTGCTTTTACTGCACTTAATGTGGGTCCTCATGTGTTTTTTTACGGAAAGTTCTTAAATGAATATACTTTTTCTTATATAATAGGTAATGAAATACCAGGTAATGAGCTTTTTCGCAAAAACATGATATCTTTGCACATGAAGCGACGTGTTATCTTCACACGTGAAAGTATTACCGTTGCTATGGCTACATGATAAAATGCACCTTTTACAGCAAAAAAAGAAGTATTTAAGTGAAAGGTTATGTTCTGTATACATGTATTAGATAGAACATTACGTAGCCAGCTGGAGATATGAAATTTCTCATCTCTGCACATCCATGTAATATCCTCTGAGTATTATAATGCAGTTAAATGCAATTTAACAGAGTTAACAACAAGGAGTGCCTGTCGCGCCTATGATGGAGCTTCCTTCATAGGCGAGACATTTCTTGCTATTAATGTGACTGCATGATGCAGTTAAGCCTAAATATGTTGCTTGTGATGGACTTTGTGAGTGTATGATGGGGTTCACAAGTCTAATCCACAAAAAAAATAACCATTGCTTGCCAGGTTAGAGCATCCTATCTAGAACACGGAGGGTTGGGGGTTTGAATTCCATCTGGGGCTCAGATTTTTTTGTGTCCTCTTATGGTTGATTCTTTATATCTCCCTTTGTTTTCTCTCATGGAATAGTCCACAGAATAACGGCCTAGTGAAGTTTGAGATGTTTAGTTTGACGATGCTAGTGTCCTGTTTTATTTCTGTAGTATTTTGATCAAATTAAAGGTGTATTTTTGACTGTAAAAACATGACCCACTTAATACAGACATCCTGTTAATATGGACACTATCTATGGCCCCTTTAGTAACAGTCCATATTTAATGGGGTTTGACTGTATTATTGCTGACCAGTGCAACATGTCGACATCGCAGGCTTAGGTGTTGACTTATCGAGGCTAAATAATTTTTTTAAGTTCTCCTAAACAAGTAACTAGTTTTCTAATGATTGCAGGCTCAATTCCAAGTTGATTTCTTTGCAATGGTGACAAGTTTATTGTTTGATGTAAAATAAATCATAAATTTTTAATGGGAGCTTTACCTTTAGCCTTGGCTAAATCTATATGTTATTCTCTGTGTATATTTTATTAGTGTTGATATCATTATCGGTTATTCTCTCGTAGAAAAAGACAGATGACAAGTGAGACTGATGTACTCGCAGTAAATGCTTCACGACTCAATTCTTCTACTAGCAAAAGTAACAGTGAAGTGGAGCGAAACTGCAATAGCAGAGAATCGAACAAACAAACAGAGGATGCTAGTAAAGAACCATTAGAGCTTCCACGTGAAAGAATCAGTGCCCGGATAAGAAGTTTAAAGTCAAAGAAGGTGGCCTATGAAGAAGACTGGGTTGACCCTGATCAAATAAGACTTTCAGGGAAAAAAATCCCTGTACAATCACGTAAGGACAGTTCAGCCAATGACAATGCTAAGTCAGTCAATCCAAAAAGAAAACGAAGAAAGAAGAAAACTGTTCAAAGTGTTGAAGAGTACGTTGATGAGGCACCTGTGATTCTAGTTGGTAATTTAGTTGGTCTGAGGCAGTGTTGTCTATGTGCTGTGATGTTTGTAGAAAAAGAACAGTTGATCAATCATATGAAGGCTGTACATCATTTGGGTGAGTTTAAACCCAGCTGAACTTTGCTTTATAGTGCTCCAGGATCTTTTGATTTAGGGGGAGGGGGCAAACCATCAGAGGGTTTCAACTACTGTTTAGTGGTCCACCCAAGACACTACCAAGATCCTGCAAGAACTAGACAACTGTGAAAATTTGTGTTAAAAGAAGCCTGTCTGAGGTCAGATAGCTGAAGAAAAAAATTAAAGAAAATATCTTTGTGAACAAATGACACCTCCAAGGGATTGATGTCAGGCTAGGGAAGGACTGACTCCAAACTGAAGGTTCAACTTCATTCCCAGAATCCATTCCTTCCTTAGTGGTTCCTTATGCAAAATGCTTTCAGTTTAAATTTTGTAGAAGTTGTGGTCGTTAGTTGGTTGAAAACCTTTTCTTTTGGGAACAAGGTGGGAAATCCCGAGTGGGCAAGTTGAGTTCATCCTTCCTGCTTAATTAGCCAATCAGAACAAAGGATTCACTTCATCTTGCCCGCTCACAGATTATTATGATAGTAGCCGTTATAATAATCAACCGTGTTCCAAGGAGGAGGGAACCCTGTGAACCAGGTTTATATTATAGAATAGTATACAAAGAAAGATTGCAGTAGATAAAATTGCATCAATATTTTTTGTTGTTGTCCCTCCTACTTTCTGTGTTTATCCTTCCCTCTGCATACCATCCTTTTTTCTGGGATGCCTTTTTCTCTTCTGAATCCCTTTCCTGTCCTAAGGGCCTGTCGTAGGTACCTTGACTGGAGTTTCACTTAACTTCATACTTTTGTTGTAGGTGACAAACTAAACGTTAAAAAGGATCCCTTAGAAACACCGCAAAACATGGAGAAAATTCGAGGTAGGTTTAGTGATTGCTGACACATTCGAGATCTGCAGTTTGGTGTACACTCTACAAAAACAACAACAAGAAAAAGACAAATAACTCATCTGTCTAGAAGACTAACTATTATGAAGAAATTGAATTATATAAACTAGAGGAAAGCTGAGAATTTCTTTGGTGTCACACCTTCTAAACTGACTCCTTACTACCACTATCGATTTCTTTTTCTTTTGCAAATGGGTAATACGTAAATCAATGTGGCAGGTCATAGCAGGTGCGATTACGTGACAAGTGTCCCGGGGAATGTGATGGGTATTCTAGCACCTAAAAATAAAAGCAATTTTCTCTGCTTACTACATAATCTTTGGACGAAATCAGTGTCATACATGACAGAATTTACCATTAAAAATCGCGTGATTTTTACGAGGTCAAACATTGAACTCCTTTCTTCACTGATTATTATCTTGTCGTTAGGATAGCCCATAGCCTGTTCCAGGCTCTCAGATAGTGGGGAAGACGCGAAAGCAAAAGGCACGCGAGAAGTTGGCGGGGCGGGAAAAAAGGAAAAAGGAAGGGAGCCGCCGCCCCTTCTCTCCCCAGTTTCCTCCCGTTTTATTTTCGTGTTTCAGCATGCCCGACTATCTCGGAGCCTGGAACAGGCTAGAAAGCCCAGGATAACCCGAACTTCTTAGGTTACAATAGGATTAAACTGTAACATCTGTTTTGGTTGTTTCAGATGAGAAGCCTCATAGGTGTTCACAGTGTGATTCATCCTTCAGGAAAAGCAGTGGTCTCAAACAGCACGTTACAAGACAGCATTCACAAAATACACCACAGAAGACCAACCAATCACAGGTCAACCAAGATTCTAATAAAAAAGGTGCTAACAATGGTGACAGACCGTATTCATGCCAGGTAACGCATAGACCATGGCTATAAACGTTCAGCCCCTTTCGCGTTTGCCCCGCAAGTTCGACCAATCTAAAGCAGCCACAGAATTTAGAGAGCTAAGAAATGACGCGCGCATAGTGTATTTCTTGCTCTTTAGATCTACTGCCGGGTATGTTCAGAATTCGCTGTGGGACGAACTTGAAAACCAGGTCGAACTAGAAAAGGCTGAAACCTCAATACATTTTTGGAAGTGTATGACTCTTGTTGTTTTGATTTGATTTGTTGACGTAAACCTCTGTTAACTAAGAGTAATCATTTTCTCTCTCGCCCAGTTTCCTTTTCTGTCGTTTCTTCATTTAAGCTACCGTAAAATTCCGAAAATAAGCCCCTCCCTGTATAATCCCCTCCAAATATAAGCCCCCCCAAACTCGTAACGCAAAAAAACCTCCGTTAAATCGCCCCTTGAAATATAAGCCCCCCGTGGGCTTGTAATTGGAAATTGCCCTTAAATACAAAGTAAAACAAAGCAAAAAAGGTAAATTTCCCTCGAACTATAAGGCTAGCCCAAATCGATTTTGCAACGCAAATCTCCCTCCGTAGATAAGCCCCCCCGAATATAAGCCCCTCAAAAAGGGCCTTTGAAAAATATAAGCCCCGGGGCATATTGTCGGAATTGTACGGTATAAAACTGAATGGAGAAGTCTTCCAGCCCTTAATACTAACACCTTTCCGGAGAATTTTCGACCTCCTCTTCCGACCATCGGAAAAAGTTGCACTACTACGTCTTGCAATCCAAAGCCTTTCAGCGCCAAACTCTTCAAGTCCCGTTTTTGTATCTGTCCGCAGCCTTTGTTCTTCAAAAATAATGATGTTTTGTCGCTTTCTTCACTTTCCTGAAGTCTTCTTTTAGAGTCGGCCTCTGCAGATGTTTTCCAGCTAGTCACCATTCAACCCCAGTGCTTTGTGAGGTTGACCAACTTTGCCAGACCGTTATGTTTTCGTTTCGACTCCAATGGTCCGAGAGACTTTTCAAAGGCTTTATATCGCAACATAGTGTAACTTTTCCCGAGTTGTCGCAGGTGGCGGTCGAAAAGATGTAATGCGTCGGTCAAATCGAAGTTTCAACATCTCCCCGGGCATACCCCGACATTTAACACCTTAACCTTCCCAGGGGGGAGGGAATTTGATACTCATGTAGTTCTCCGGGGATTGGGAACTTTGATGCTTTTGGGCAAATGGAAAAGAAACCGAATTTAAATTAAACCGCGGCGGGTTAGCACTAATCGGCCTGGTCAACCACAGGCAGCCCAAGTTCAGTACGAGGGTTTCATTAATTCGTGTGGTATCATATTGCATAATCCCCAAAATGGCCATCAGTATAAAAGATTGTATGGAAATTCAGGTAATAGATCCAAGAGGATAAATACTCGCTGTTATGAAAGTCCCGATAATTTAACGGGCCCGGAAAGCTGTTGTGGTTTACATGCAAGATAGAGGTTTCAATAGTTTAGCATCTAACATGATATAACTATCAGTTAATGAAACAAAATGGAGTAGCTTGCTAGCCAGGACCTGCGCTGTTATTCTTTATATTTCGATTTGAATATTTGATTTCGGGGCCGAAAAGTTACCGGGACTTTCGAGAAACCGACCCCAGGGAACCTAACGAGCTTTAAATTTCTTCTTCTCGTATTTGTACTCGATCTTATCCTTATTTTTAATAGCTAGCAAACCGTGGTTAGGTTAGCTTAGGAGGCATCTCCCAGCTTGTACAAAAGGACACAGGAGGAACTTGGTCTGCCATCATATTTTTTGTGTTACACATGACTATTCTAATATGGGACGGTTTGTTGTAGGTATGTGGCAAAGCATTCAAACGAAAACATCATTTACAAGAGCATAGTTATATTCATTCAGATGACAAGCCTTACAAATGTGACACTTGCAGCAAAACTTTCAATCAGAGAATATGCCTTACAAAGCACCTTCCATGCAGGGAACACGAAAAACAGCAGCGAAAACCAAGTTCCACCAACGCAATTAACTCGGGGGTGGGGTCACCACAGAAACAAGCAACTGACAAGTGTAGTGACGTGAAAATATTAGCAGTAACTGGCACAGAAAAGGAAAGTGTATGCAGTGTAGCCAAAGGAGCACTATCCAATCACAACTCGCATCTAGACCATACTAAAACATCGCCGATCCCATGTGAGATAAACGGAAATGAGTGTGATGATAGTAAGAAACTTGTAGAGGAAGAGTCACATGGAAAGCATACAAAGTCAGTCTCGCTCTCTGTTACTTCCAGCGCATCCACTACAACCGCAGTTAGAAATGTCACGGAAACACCACGAGAAGGGACAGAAGAGAATCAAAATATTGGAACAGCAAAATGAAACGTGAAGTCGCTACGCTTTGGCTCCACGTGAAAATGCCCATCATGAAGAACAAAAGTAGCCGTACTCTTTTTTCAAGTATTGTTTTGTTTTGTTGCCATCAGGGTAGACACAGGTGTTCCTGTACGGCTTACTCGCCATTATTGGGTTACATTCATTTTGCCGTCAAGGTGTAGCTCTAAGCCACATCCGTGATTAAGCTACATCAGTGATCTACTGAAGGTATTTTGGTAGTGGAATACCCAGAGGGCGCGATCTATTTTATAAAAATAGTCCAGTTATTCCGAATTTTCGAGAAAAGAGGAAAATCACATTCTTTCCGGAAATTTCCGTTCCATTTCATTGTGTTCCCATCAATTTTCATTGAAAAAATAAATTAATTAATTAACGGTTAATGTTACCAGATTTTACGTAACTTCTCCCCGGAAATTTAAGGTACCATTCGTCATCGTTTTGAAATTAAATTTCCAGAATTTTCAGTCCTGTGGATCGCATTTCAAAAATTCAACAGCTGATGTTTTTGGATTTCCTGGAAACGTTTCCAGGAAATTTCTGTACCATGCGTTCTCGTTTCCAAATATCCAGTATATTTGTTTGAATTGATCGCGAGGCAGAAGACTCCCACAAACTCTCGACTCCAATGGCTAATTTGAAAAGGACAAATACCTCTGGTTATTCCATGTCAACCGGGGTTGCTCTTTAGTACAATATAGTTTTACTTTAACAAGGATCTCTAGGGTTAATTTTATTTATTCCAAACTGAATACAATTCGAAGAAAAAGGCAAATAAGCAAATCGAACAAACAAAAAGCTAAATTGAACGCAACCTTTATCAGTGTAATTTTAGGCTCATCGAGCTTAAAACGTTTCCCGAATTATGTACTTCTGCTTAGATCCGTTCTTGTCAAATCTACATAGTCCGTAGCTCTCAAAAAGGAGAGATAAACGTAAGTGATCATCCCTAGCTCCCCCTACAATTATTATCAGAAGGGTGGGGGTTTGCTAGACTAGAATTTGTTATAAAGGGCGCACTAGATATCATGCATTCCCTTGTAACAATCGAACGTAGACTAAAAAAGAGTGATACTATATTCATTGTAAGGAATTTACCAAAAGTGCAATATTTTGCGACAAAATGTTTTGGAAATTTTTGCGTTAATTTTTTGCATAATCTTTCATCTTGTTAAATGTACAAAACAATTACGTTTTTGTACAAAATTGGTGTCGCAAATATTTCCTATAAGAAAGTTATTATAAACTTAACGGACTGAAGCTGGAGGTTTCTAGTAAAGGAGGACATTGAAAGGTGTAGTTAGGTCAAAAGGGATTTCCAATAGACTTTCACGAAAGTTTTCTTTACAAAACTGAATTAAAGAGTGTAATGAAATAAATTTAACCCTCTGCTTGAATAATTATAACATTTATTTAAAGGACGAATGCAGAGGGGGTGTGAGGTACTTTAAAAGAGTAGGCTTAAAATAGGTCAGATTAGGGACCTTGAAGCACAGGCCGCGTTTTAGACGCTACCAAATTTGTAATGATAAGTATCTTTACTCTTAGAGACAATTTGCACCAAAACGTGGGCAGAACCACTGCCAAATTTTTCCACTTCAGGTTTAAGTGCTCCAGTCAAAACGTCCTCGCTTAAACTTCCTATATTTACTATATTTGAGGACGAAGTGACCTTTCTACACACCTGAGACCAAGACTAATCATGTAACCATGAGTTTTTTTTCATAGCACTTTAAAAGAAATAATTTATACCAAATTTATACAATCCTACGTAACGAGATCGTTAAACCGTCGTTATGAAGAAGCGTCTTTTTTTATTTTTCACCACTCGGTGACGTTAGTGGGGGCTATGCCACGCTATATGACATTTTTTGTTGTGTTATTTAAGACTATGTTTAGGCATTGAGACTGCTTCATGTCGTCTGCTTCTACGGATGGCAAGGATGGACATGGATTAAAACTTTGAAAGGTTAAACTATGCGTGCAAAAAATCGTCAAAAAAATTATTATGGTGTGTGCTCCCTGGTGAAATTGTTTTGATATCTTTTTTATAACTCTACAGGAGCATTCTGGGTATGGGTTAATAAGGCACTGAGTAATGACTATCACACAGAATTGACCTAAAACAGCAAAATCCACGTGACATAGCCACTTAAAGAAAAAAAAATCACTGCGGAGTGAAAAAGCAGAAAAAGACGTTTAATCTGCAGTATTCGTAATCATACTCTCACGTTCTAGTTTTTGTACCATATTTCATTACGTACAACCTTCGAAAATGACGCCAAGAGAAGCTATCATTTATATCAGATTAAACAAGAAGCTCTGAAGAGCTTTAATTAGCAATCAATAAACTATTTCATAGAAAATTTTTACTTGTTTTTTTTTTTTCCTTAAATAGGGTCCTTAGAGAGGGCGCATGCTTTTGATCACCAATTCTTCTTACTAGATAGTACCCATTGTTTAGCAGGAAAAGAAGCCAGGCCCTGGTTGTTCAAACGTTGGATAGTGCTATCCACTGGATAACGCAATTTGGTTTCCTTAATAGCTATCCAGTGGAAAGAGGTTTATCCGGTGGCACTATCCATCGTTTGAACAACTATTGCCAGTTCTCCGTAAGCATGACTCGCGCGGCTTTGACGCGATCCATAGGTAATCCAAATAATAGCGGAGCTCGCGCGCACAGCTTTGCACCATGGGTAGGAAAATTTGGTTATTTTTGGATACAAGAAATTGTGGTTGTAACAAAATCGTCCGTCTGTCAGTATTCCCCCTCCTCATGTTTGCGATGTGAAACGTCTCACTAAGTAACTGAAAACTTTGCCTGGGAAGCTGGTGCTAAATCATCTCATATCTAACAAGCGCGAGTAGAATAATTGTTGTATTAAAAACGACCGCAAAATATCGAGAATTTTTTCCGCATTTATTTGTAAAAACAACCGATTTTTAGCTTGTTTTTAATTTTAAGCAGTCGCGTACAGTTACCATATTTGGAGAGCATGGTATGATGGCTCATACACCATGATGGCTAAGCCAATCAGAGCTCTAGAATTGCGTTATCCAATGATTCAGTTTTAAATAATTGGAATTATCAGATATGGGGAGTAGGTCATTTACATTTGACTTGATATTAAGACATCATTTAGACATTTAGACCTTAACGCCCTTAACATTTGGATTCTATCGTCAACATCCAACCACAGACAATCCGCGGTTAGTTTACTTTCGATTTATTATTTCTTTATTCACTCAATAACTTACGTTTTTACAAGATATCTTAATCCCAATCCTATTCACAGAGGGGGTATATTATGAAATAAAGACTTTACATTTTCGTTGAATAAAAGATCAAAGTACATCTTCGCTTTATTGATTAAACAGTATAAACAGCTATCTTGAATACTAGCCAACTATTCTCCACAGCTTATTCTAAATGGCGTGGTATGTCCTTAATACTCCTTTAATTCGGTACAAAGAGTTAAAAACTAATTGCTCAAAAATTAAAGATAAAAGTTGCCAAAGTGAATTATCCGTTTGACCGACTATTATGAAGTCATGATTATTTTCACACGATAGTGAATGATCGATTATACCACTGATGGTGAGCAGATTATAATATGCTACAAACTGCTTTTCCAAAATTTACGTTCATGCAATCATCTGATTATCCTGGTCATTATTGTGGACCCAGTGATTATATAGTTGAGCCTATTTAGATTGTTGAGGTTGAGGAAAAGCGAACCGGAAGAGAAAAAAAAAAACGCAATATGCAACTCAAAGGAGAGTGAGAAAAGTTGACAGGAGCTGTTCCTTAGTGCCGCCGTTTACTGCCTCGCTTTTCCACACCGTGAGATCTTATCAAACCCGAGTCAAACGTATAATTTTATAAATCGTGATTGCTTTAATAAGTTGACCTGCGACTCTTGAGTTATTAGTCCATATCCCGAGACGATGGAAAGCAGCGTGGAGGCCGCGTGGCCAAGCGGTTACAGCGCTGAACTAGCCTTGTAATCCGGAGGGCCCGAGTTCAAGTCCCGCCCTGACCGCTAGCTGGATTTGTTCTCGGTAGTCCCGAGTTCAGATCCTCGGCCACGCGTAAAAGTAACTAACTGAGTATATTTTGCATTTAAAGCGTCCCCTTCTTTTCTAAGATCGTTAAGGATTCGTCCCGGGTTGCTTAAAAGACGGTAAACTTTAACCCGAGCCTTGGGTTTGAAAGTTTACCGTCTTTCGAGCAACCCGGGACAGATTGTAACCAGTACTGATAACTAAAGATATTGCGGAGGCGTTACTTAGAGAACCAGTTATCTGAAACTCCCCTACAGGAATGTGTTATAATTTTAACCCTGGGTTAGCGCTAACCGTACGTTTTCAGGGAGCCTGGGACCAGGCTCTGCAGTGAGAGAGCGGGAGTCTGGGGACGGGAAAGGGCAGCCGTACACCTCTCGGCTGTACACCTTCCTTCGCCAATTTTTTTCTCTGTTTTACCCCGTTTGCCTTTTTCCCCCACCAAGGAGTCTGTTTCCACGCTAGTTCTCGAACTACTGGGACTTTAAGTCTTGTCATCAACATCCATTTTTTTGGTTGACTCGGGTTTGAGAGCTTGTGTAACTTGACGGTAGCTTTATCTAAAGTGATCTTCCCTCGCGTGAACTACTGCGTTCTTTTTCCGCCAGCACTGAAGACACATGATCACAATCAAATCAACAAATTCACATAGCGTCAGGAGACTGCAGCCCAAAAATAATCCCATGTTACCTCCGACGTCCGCTGAAAGCAAATTGAAATACACATAATTAGACTGCCCGCCTTTTCTCTTGAAATCCGTTCAGTTATTATCCAAGCCAGCGCGAGTGCAAACAACGATGTTACAGTATGGGACACACTGTAATTTTCAGGGAGTTATAATAACTCCTCTAGTGGGGCTAATTTAACTCCTTGCAGTGGAGTTATTTTTCGTGGAGTTACTTTAACTCCAAAAAGGAGTTTAAAGAACTCTTTTTCAGGAGTAAAAGTGACCCCAGATATTGAGGAGTTAAAATAACCCCAAAAAAGGAGTTATCCTGTACCTAAAATTTTTACTCCACTTTCAGAGTTAAATTAACTCCAAAAAGAGTAAAAACAACCCATGTAAGGAGTACAAGTAACCCCATTTCGGAGTAATTTTAACTCCAGACTGGGAGTAAAAAGAACTCTTTTTCAGGAGTAAAAATGACCCCAAATTAGGAGTTAAAATAACCCCAAAAAAGGGGTTATCCTGTACCTAAAATTTTTACTCCATTTTTGGAGTTATAATAACTCCCTAAAAATTACGGTGCAAGCGTGCATGGGTTACCCGTGGAGAAGCTTTGCAAAGAAAAATAATAGACTGCTCGCAGTCTACACTAAAAAACACGGACAATAACGTTGCCCATATCCAAATCAGACGACATTTATGATAGATGCGTAGTACAAATAATAAGGCAAAGTGACGCAAACGACGTCTAATCGACGGACTTATCAGATATGTACGTCGTTTTAGGCCTCCAAGACGAGACGCACATGCATGTGGACGTCTGACTGAAGAACAACGGGTGCCACCGTGAGAGAGGTGTCGGTGTTCAAGAAGGGTCTGAAGAAGAATCGATTGTACGTGACATACACTTCATACTTACATCCAAAATCGTTGAGATCATAAGCAGGTTTTTCCTCGGTTACCTCTGTGTCCAGAGTTTCGTAATAAATGTTCACTTGTACCATCCTTTTTCTAACAATTTAAAAGAAACAAAAAGTATAATAGTAGTTAAAATTAAATAAATTCTGTCGATTAAAGTTTAGTTGCGTTCATTTAAAAATGGTAAAAAGGCAACTGTGTCGAAGAGAAGTGCATTTAGCTTTCCACCTTGTCTACAAGTACTCTATTCAAATCATTAAAAACGGTAATCAAATCAACTAGAAGAAGGCAACCAGTTGGGGATTTACAAGCGTAGCAAAGGATTTGAACTAGGACGACCGCCTAGAAACTAATCCAGCTAGTGGTCGGAGCGGAACTCGAACCTGGAACTGCCGAATAGTGTGTCTGAAAAGACCACTGCAGGCCACGCATGCCTCTTTGTAAGATCTAAAAATTGAGGGGATTCAAGTCTTTAGGCAATCCCGCTTGTGCGCACTGACCATAAGAGGTCGGTGGGTTTGAAGATAAAGCTAGCTGAGTAAAGAGTTTTAAAAGAAGTAAGTATTTTCTCGCATTCGCTTAAAAGAAAATAAACAAACATTGAACAATCTACGTGAATTGAATAGGTGATAGTTTTCTTGAAAATACTGCAAGGGCAATAAATCCAAACCGACTTCCAAGCTGCTTAAAAAAAACACCTACTATGCTCCATTTTTCAGTGTTTAGCTAGTGTTTGAAATCTGTGAAACACTCTTACACGTGTTCGAAATTATTGCCAAAGATCAGGGAGATGGCGTAAAGAATTTCGAGGAGGTTGACATTATAAAAGGTTTACCTGACATAGTCTTGGTACTCTCTGACTTTTTCTGTATCATTTGGTGCGATGTTATAGAGTGGCAAGAGGGTATCCCACAAGTGGCTCGACGGGGAATAGGCCATGGAAGACTGCACCTGAAAGTCAATTTTTTTACAAGGCACGGGGCAATCACAGCGGCTTGGGTTAAAATTTGCTAAAAAACAAGGATAAAAGAATATTATCAATATTTCCTACTTAGTCCTTTTTTAAGAGCCTTAAAATGGTTGTTAAAACTTTTGTTCGTGTCACTTACTGGCTTTTGGAAAAGCACATTTGAGGAGCTCTTTTGCACTACAGAATCTTGTATGGTTAACTTCACCTATAGGAATAATTATAAAATTTATTTGTGCGTAGAACTATGAAGTTTGACTTAGTTAATTTACAACAGAGGGTAAAGAAAAGCTTTGATCCAATGAGGCCTATAACGGCAGAGTTCATTTCATCTCAACCTTGGAGTCTCCCCCGCCCCCAACCATCCCCCGGCCGAATGTTCACAGTATCAATCTGTCACACTAGGCAGTGTCGAAAGAGAAAAAGTGGGGCATTAAAGGAAAGGTTTCTGGTAAAGGCTAAAACCCTTACCTACACACCCGAGGAGACTAGACAAGTACGCCTCCACTGATAGCATTGGTTACTTCTCAGTGAACCCCGTAATGAAATAAAATATATAACATCATGCGATCAATGAACAGTGAGTGGTCATTTTACAAATGTAGAACTCCAACGGATACATGGACAAGCCGGCAAAAATACAAACTAACAGTCTATCCATTGTAGGCTAAACATATAATAAAAGATGATCAATTATCTCTATTTACCAGGAGAAACCTAGCAGAAGTGACATGAAGTGACGCAATAACATTTGACTGACTCTCTAAGAAAAGAAGGCTGACGCCTTTTCACTTACGTGGCCAGCAGCTATGCAAATAATGGGAACAAAAGAAAGTGTACGAGGCTCAACAACTCCTACAGTACTGATTTGCATGGGACATCTGTGTTTTGGACACTTATATGGTGGACGTAAAAAACGTCATGTGACGTCATTTATCTATTGCGGGTTTGCACGTGACGTCACGGCGGCCATGTTGATGGTCAAGAACAAAAGCATTTCTCTCCACTTGGAACTTTATTTCCGTGTAAATTCTTCGAAAAATGTTTATTGAATTGGCCACCAATACGAAATTGTACAAATATTCAATATCTACAAACACTCTTACCAGTAATGGGAATAAAGCTCGAAAAACTAAGCGCGTAACAAAAAAAAATGGCAAGAAAAATAAAAGGAAAAGATCGTGCAATTTCCATTTTGTGAGCTGTCGTTAGTCAAAGGTTCTGGACCAAACATAAATAACTGCAAAACAAGAATAAACAGCTATTTACATTAATGCATTAAGAAATATCTTACTCATCGGTGGCATTGATATCATGCGACAGTCACATGCGTTTACAACCATCTTGGTATAACAGTCCAACAGACATGCGTATTCCGTGTAAACCGGAAAAGTTGAGTCCAGCTTCTTTGTACCACAACCGGATTTAAATGGCTTCGGAAGACTTATCGTCTACAATCAAGATATGAAAAATGATTAAGTATACTAAAGCTGTTACTACTATGGTCAGCTGTAATCTCTCTGGGCTTGGATGGCATTACTCTTAGTCCCGGGGAATACTCCCATAAATTTCGGATTGGTGTGTTCCGCACACGGTCTTAAAACCTATTTAAGGATAAAGATAAACAGAAATTGACAGCCTATTTAAGATAGATAGTTTGCTTTATTATCAACAGAGCGCCTAAAGGCACATGTGTTTACAACGATAACAAAGATTACAGTGCAATAATTACAGAGGGAAAAGGGAAAAATAACGGATAAGAAATTAATAGAAAGACGCAAATCTTTATTAGATCACTTTCATGACACTAACAGTAGCTGGGTATTTACAATTACGTACTGGAATTTTAGCAGATACAATTTGTGTACCCTGTCTAAGGTTCCCACGGGGACCACAACGCCAACAAGGACAAATACTAAACCCTACTTAAGGATCAAGACCCTCAGAAATCATATCTTATTTTGCTGGACATACCTATCGATCCCATATATGGGAGAACCTTCCCCCGAGAAAAAGGACGATTTACAGCTTGGCCCCGGTTGTTCAAAAGTTTGATAGCGCTATCCACCGGATAAATCGCTATCCAGCAGCCGATAAGTATTACGGAAACTAATTGGGCTATCCACTGGATAGTGAATTATCCAGTGGATAACGCTATCCCGGAGGGGGGGATACTCTCTTACAAGAGGCTATTGGGGATGTGCCGATGTATGGGGTCGCATTTTCACGACTGGAGTGACTATAATGCGGTCGCATTTTCAATAGAGCTACTAGAATGGGGTTGCAAATTTTCGGATTTTTGGGGTAAGTTTGGATTCAAAATGGGAAGATGCTTGGTTAGAAAAAATCAGAAAGTTGTTTATTAAATTTAACAATGAGCTCGTATTGACCGCATTACATTCCGCCGCTTGAAACCACATTGATAAGGTAGATGTATAAAAAGAAAGTGACTAAGTTGGGATCGCGAAAATTACATTTTGCAAAAAGTGATTAAGATGGGCTCTATAATGGGCCAAAAAATAGACTATAATTGGGTAGGGGCTCTGAGAGGCCATTGGCACATACCCAGCAAACAGTAACCCAAGCACCCCCCCCCCCCGGAACGCTATCCACCTTTTGAACAACTGGGACCAGGTGTCTGGAAAAAGATGTTTCAAACAATGATGATAACAATCTTTTCAAACCTACCTTAGTCCTTCGCACGCGTATATTGGTAGTGAAACCAGGTGGTAAATCCACGCCAAAGTCTTCGATGTTGGGATACGACTCGTTTTGATCATGAACCAAAATTTTAAAACCTGTTGCGTCATAACTGTATGGTCCATAATACTCCTCTGGCTGTGCATCCAGGGAGAGTGTCAGCGCTTGTATTTTTCCCGATGTTGTCACGTACAGTTTAGTGTGATTCGGATACCCAGAATTTAGCGTATAACATACACCTCGCTGAAAAGGAAAAAAATACCAAACGCTTTAGATTACTCACCTTGCCTCTTACATGAAGAATACTGACGGATCTAATAGAAAAGTATCTGCCCCCCTCCCCTCAACCGTCTTCGCCATGAACACCACCACCTCTGTCACATGGAAAAAACGCATCATTACCTCCATCACCATCGTCATCATCATCAGCACTACAACTGGGAAAACATTATCACGATGAATAACATCATCATCATCATCATCATCACCAACGCCATCAATATCCCCATCACCATGGCCATCATTATCACCATCATCATCGTCGTCCTCGTCGTCGAATATTATACCAAGCAAAAAGAAAGGAGGTTAAAGAGCGTGTTCACCAGGCATTACTGTTATATTTTTAGGGTAGTTCTTTGGTTATGTTTAGTTCAAGGCCAATGGGATGTCGAGATTAATTTCTGCATGGGTTACGTACAATCGAACCAACATATTCTCATGAACATTTTAGTCTTATTAATTAAAACCTTTCGCTTTTGTGATTTCCAGACGTTTGATTTATCTAAAAAATACTAGTTAGCCTGAGGGATGGTTGAAAGATTTTCTTTTCCCAATATCTATTCAATTACAACGCGCTAACTCTAAACAAATTATATAGATATGCGTTATTGACCAACCATGCTCAACCGTGAGCGAGTTTGGCCAAGTTCTTTTTTGCGTTTCTACGGACCGAAACGAAGTCGAGGCTTGGTATGTAAAGGATTTATTGTATCGCCAAAAAAAGAACCTTTTTCTTGGGGGACTAACGCCGGAAATCACGAGCGGGTAGGGTGGACCCATTTTGCCCTCCCAGGTAGCCAATCAGAGTACAGGTTTCGTGGATTCAGCTATATATTAAGAGCGATTGCTTATAATAAAATGATTGGACTTATGAGGTGTTTCACTCAACACGGCTAGTTTCTATGTGTTGTGCAAGGATGCAAGTCACCACAAAATAACCTGAGCTTCTTGAGGAAGATGGCTGGAAGATTCCGAAGCATTTTAAAATTAATTAGTCGAGGTACTGACCAAAATAGAAAGCAAGAAACTGACAAGAACCGAAAAGCCACGTAAGGGAGATTAACTACTACTAAGTGCTATGACATCCAGTCATGTCATCAAACTGCACATCAGGCCTAGAAAGTGGTTTAAAGAAACTTAAAGGAGCTGTGTCATGAAATTCAGCCAAATTAGGAAATTAAAAATGCCCGTTAAAAATTGCCGCTTAAAACTTTAAAGGAAGGTTAAAATAACATAACAGAAACAACAGATGCCACGGATGGGCAAAACAGAGGAAGACTGAAACGGATTGAAAACGGATTTTTGAAAACTGGTCAGCCTAACAGTTTTCAAAGTTGATCCCTGCTGCTTGCAACTTCAAAAATAATGCTCAGGAGACATATTTGTTTGTCTCGGATCTCTGATTTTGTCATTTACATGTAATTTCTTTGTTTACTTTAAAATCCATAACGATTGAGGGCGAGTAATTGGCAAAATTAAACAAAATGAACTGGACTGCCGGGACACAACCCCTTTAAGGCACAGAAAGAATGTCATAAGGTGGGAAATGTTCGTCAGCGTTCGTATGATGAAGAGAATCATGCAGATCTTGATGGGTGTTATCACATCAGCCTTCCGCCCCTCTGGCAGGTCACACCCTCCTCGATTATTTTCCCTGTTTCTATCTGACATTATCATTTACTTTTACCATCAATGAGAGGAATGAAGTGAAGTTAGCGGCTGAACATTCTTGGTGTTGAAAGGTACACTTATGCAGCATTTCGGAGAGCACATGACTGTTGTTCGTGACGATTTCGTCAACGTTAAGCGACGGATCAACTTCTTTGTCCATGAGGCTTTTACCTAAGACGTGAATTTTTACAAAATCCTGTTGGTCAAGGAATGTTTGGGCGTCCGTTCCAAGAATTTTGCTCCTCTTCATCATGTTCTGGTTGCATATAGTTATGGCAGGGAATAAAAGCTTTTCATCGTGCTCAATGGATTTGCTTATGATGCTCTGGTTCCTTTGATATTTTCTGTAGTTATCTCGAAATTGGAAGAAAAGGAAAACAATGCCCAGCAATATTAGGGTTATCCAGATAATTCTTCGTATTAGGGAGCCGGAGTCAAATATGAAATGGAACCCGTGTAGCGTAGTGTAAGACCCGAAATCTTTGATCACGCGTGAGGCTTCGTCAGTCTCTGACTTCCAAACTTCTTTCGCTCCTTTCACGCAGTGGTCCGTTTTTTCTCTTATGGCTTTTAGCTCTGTTTCCATGGTGCTGTTAGTGACCTAGAGGGAAAAAGTTATAAAGCACAACTTTAAAATTGACAATTCGTCTAGACAATAGTAAAAAGAAGAAAATAAAGTTTTAAAACCGGGCAACTGAAAAGAATCTTGATTGGTCGATTTCGTACCGTTAAATAAGTTCGCAGTAATTATTTTTTGTTTTACATGCAAATTCTTATTTGAATTGCTAGTTTCCTCAAAATAGCGTTTTATGTCAACTCCTGCGTAATTGTCGGGGCCGACTTCTACAAAAATTTCAATGATTTAATATCTTTTAGGTTTAAGAGTAAAAAAAAGACCGACAAAATTTTCTGCGTCGAAGTGGCCCCACAAAAGTCTTTTAAAAGAGACACTACAGGCTTCTTGGCCCTGAGTAGTGCATCAAGCTCCACTGTAATTATGACGTCAAGTCGTTACTGTAAAGCATAAACACATACCATTTTGATGAGAAGAGGTAATGCGTCATTACCACTTATTTAAAGAGCTGTGGATTGAGTCTTGAAACCCTTATGCGCTTTCATTTGACGCTAACATCACGGAATGAAGTTTAAAAAGACAGATTTCTCTTTCTAGACAATCTTTATGTAAACTCATAGAGGAATTATTCTGAAGTTCCTTGCATAGAGATCTTTGGGTGATTTCATTGCCACTTAAAGGTAGTACCAGAAGTGCATTCGTGATTCGCAATATTTCAATCACTACCGAAACTATTTGAAAAGATAATGTGTTCATAATTAATATAAGTAAAGGCTAAACAACACGGGCGGTACCCAGTTTTATTGAAAGCGAAATATATCTGCAAAAATCGTAACAAACATTGATTAGCCTGACGAGTTTGCACGTAAAAGAAGAAGAAGATTAAGAAGAAGACTGGAGAAGAAGAAGACAAGAAGAAGGAAAAGGGGCAAAAGCAAATTTTAAAATCTAAGTAAGAGCCTGCCAAGAACAAAATAATAATTAAAAAAAAAAGACAGATGCACTTAGTTTAAGTTTTTTAGAGTCGAACCTCCCGTAGGCGACCACCCAAAATGCAAAGACTGAGTGGTCGCTTACGAGAGGTGGTCCTTTACAAGAAACGAACCACAGGGGTTTCTTCCGAGAAGAGGTGCAAGCACATAGACTTTATGGAGGACAATTTATTGCATGCAATTTCTAAGATACGCCATGTGTAGTTCCATGTTTTCACTGAAGTTCTTCGTATATTCTTAGTAGCATAGTGCACACAGCGAACCTAGAGATCAGAGAATGCGTCAAGTGATCGCTTACAAGAGGTTAAAAACCACTGGAACATCATTAAACTTTCAGGCCCAAAATGGTGGTCGCGGTCGCTTACAGGAGATGGTCGTTTACTTTACAAATGTAAGGCTTTGACTTGGAAAAGTTTGGAGTTTTGGATAGGCGGTCGCTTAATGAGAGGTGATTGCTTACGAGAGATGGTCGCACATGAAGGTTCGACTGTAGTACGGTATTCCAGAATTCTTACGCTTAATTCTGCTTGATTCAAGTTGTTGCTATCACCCATTCTGTAAAGTTACAAATTAACTAGGCCCTCCTTTCAAGGTTAAATGAGTATGCAACCTTTTCATTTGAGCTTTTCAATACTGTTTTTTTTTTTGCTCGTAATCACGGTTTCTTTAGTATGCAGTGTGCCCTAGTGTCGCGCTTGTGAACAGCTTTTCTCTCACACTATGTCTTACAGGAGGTGGGTGTACTGATTGCCTTGAAATAATAACAACTCAGTTTAGGTCTCTCAGCAGGGGTAATAATTCTAACAAGAAACAACAAAGGTGACATAAGGAAATGGTAATAATTGTTACATAACAGAGCCACTATGATATTACAAAGAGGCCTCCACCAATTTATCCTGCTTAACCATAAAAAATATCCCGCACAAAAGTGAATTTTGAAGATTTGTTGTTGTTTTTTTCCTTTTTCGATTTTATTAAGCCCATTTCCAATCTTTTAGGCCCGGAGGCTCCGGCTAAGTCTATCGAGCTCCACAAAAACCCACATATTCCACTTTAAAAAACTAGTCCAAGTAACACTGATATCATATTTTAAAAGGGAACATGGCCGGTGATATTTTACCATCGCTAGAGCGTATCCCTAACAAAATTGTTGCAATCCAAATAGCCCTAAAGTAGAGGCCCATTAAAAAATAATGGTAAAACTGCATCAGTTTACAGCCCTAGTTATTGTTAGTTTTGCCGACTTTAGTCCAATGTTGATTAATGATAACTAGCATAAGGTTAAGGTTTTTTATGGGTACAAAGTACCTGAGTGCCTGATTCGAAGTAGAGAGCTTAGTTCGTACGGAGTGATGCAACAAAGTTTTGTTTCTTGCTTCAAAGTACACAATTTAATCTCCTACCGTTGGCTACACGGATTAGAGAAGAAAAGGAAATGAACTGCTGGACTCTGCAAATAATTTTCGTAATCTGCATTTTCCTAGCAGTCAGAATCAAATGACTGTGTGGCATTTTATTGTGAAAAAAATTTAATTTAAACATTCTCTTTCTTGTGCATGGTTAATAAATGAAGGTTAATGGTAGGACTTACCTTTTTGACTGAACGGGTAGAAGGGTTAAGTTATCTTTGTTGCTTTTGATATCAGATTGGAATTATCATATAAAGTTGAAATGCGTGGCGAAAAATCAAACACTGACTGAGATATACCGGTAATCATTTCTTACCTGCCTATCGCTCACTTCACTGTCGCTTCTCAAAGAACATTCGTGAGGTTACTGCACTATGAGAGTACTCAGTTTAGACCATCAAGTTATATTAAGTTTAAATTTCAGGATTAAATTCGAAACAACCTTGGCTATTCCATTTGCAATTAACACTTGATTGTCTTTGCCAATTACTGCTGGGCTATTATGCTCCACTCACCTGTCGGAAATGTGTTCTCTACAATCAGCGACAAAACTGAAAAACAAAAAGAAATAAACCGTTTGATAACTTAGCTTCACAGCACGGAACAGTGTTTTCACACTCTAAATCTCGATGCAGGTCTTAAACTTTGTCAACAAACGGGCCAGTTGCCTCGCCAGTCTCTTAACAAAAAAGGAGAAATTTCATCAGGATTATGATTAATTTGATAGCAGAATAAATTAACGCAGGGTGAATTAATTACAAAAGAAAAACATTACTTAGTTACGGCCGCTTTCGAACCTGAAAAGTCGTCGCACAGAACGTTTCTCTATAACTGCAGGTATAGACGCACCAGTCCACGTTCAAACGTTAAAATTACAAGTATTTGTATCGGAACAACCCTTTATTTTAATCAATTTTTTTTTTGCTTTCTGTGCAGGTTATCTTGATAAATAAATAAACTTGCGATATACATTTTATTAAAAAATAACGCAAATAGCATAGGTTTTCCATTCAAGGTAACAACAAGGCTATCTCGCAGAATTCTTAACTGATTTACTAAGATCTTAACGTGGTTAGCAACTCTCGAACTTGAAATGCAAGGCAAGGACATAGTCTAATTATTTTTGGGTCTTACATTTTTAATGAAAAATTTTATTATCCTTAAGAATAAACATATATCTGGTATAATTAAAGGCGCTGGAAAATATCGTGCAACCCAATTCTCAAGTGAGTCACAAACCAGTCCACATTCTGTAGTGTCATGCTTCCATTTTAACCTACAAATTCTACATGGAATAAACCAAACCAAAATCCCAACCGGTTTCTCTTTGAACAATACCACGTATTTTATTTTGTTCCATACAACAAAGATAAAGATATCCCTCAAGTAAGTGATTCTTATAGCTGTTCTTTGGGATCTGTAGTTGGCACACCCTAATCACCCTAAAAGCAGGTGAAGTTGATCTGCACTTCTCACCCCTATCTTCAAAATCCCTTCCTCAATTCAAACCTAGCCTAGACCTGTTATAGCTTGTCTCTGTCCTATTCAGGAGGACAGTAGTAGCATTAATTAACTATTAAAGATTCTTTCAATCCAATTTCTCTACAACTCAACGGAGAAACTGCAAAACTGAATTTTTGAAACTTTATGTGTAAAAAACCTTAAGTACAGACTCATTCGGGTTTACGACTCTTATTTTTACAACTTACACGATCTTTGCTGGCATTTCTAACACAGACACTGAATCATAGCCAAGGGCAATCAAAGAGCATACAGCGAAAATCTAGGATCTGACAACTATGGTTAACAGAGAATAAAACCACTCAGAGGATTCAGGGTGAAAATTACCAAGAAGTCTATGTTTGGCTTTAATCATGAACAGCGTTAAATCATTAGAGATCCATGATAGCGGTATTATAAAAATGGTATTAAAACACATCTGTAGACATACATAACACATAATTTAATAAATTCGTGTAACTCACGTTCCGTGTTTTGAAAAGCACAGTATTACGAGCTAACAGCATGCGCTATATGTTAATGGTTTTTGCATTCATTTTTAACGAGACATATGTTGTTACCGGATAAGTTTTGTTGTAAAACAAGCCATAATGACTTTTGCAATACTCGTAACATTTCTATTAAAAATTTAAGATTCAAAACTGATTGCGAAAGAGTTTGTTTGCAAACTCAAACGCATATATTATTCTTCGAAAAAATAGTGCAAAAGAAATCTGCCTAGATTTTTCAAAACAAGCTCTTTAATTAGCTGATGTGTTTTTATGAAGATTTCCGCACGGTTGTTTGTTTGATTTCTTCCATGTCTAAAATATAATCATCCTTCATTGTTCCGGTATTCTAACTATTGATATTTCAGACTGCGGAGGCATTACAATAGGGAAGTTATGCTTTTTCCCTAACAGCCCATCACAATATAGGCCAAGGTAAAAAATATGAAATATCAGTTTTTCATGAAAAGAAGGTACTGTAAAAAGAAATGCCTAAAAGATTTCTCGAATAATTACAGCAAACAAAAAAAAAAATTTCCCTAACAGCCCATCACAATATAGGCCAAGGTAAAAAATATGAAATATCAGTTTTTCATGAAAAG